TGTCTCAAAAAAAAAAAAAAAAAAAAAAAAGGGAGGGGAATTCTGTCCTATATTTGGAGAACTGTACTTGTATATTTAAACATGTAACAAGCAATGTAGAGAGTTGCCAACAGAAGCTACAGTATAGTCAGGCGTTAGTATTCTGGTCAGAAGGTCAAAACTAACACAAATAAAAACTCAGGCTAATAAACACATAAATAGCTAACTGTTGTTAATAACAACCCCGTAATACTTCAGTGGCATGAGGCAATAAAAGTTTTTCTCATTCACGTTTAGTGTAATGTAGGCCAAGGTGGGAGGGGCTCTAGTTCACAGAGACATTTAGTGACCCAACTTTCTTCCACTTTGGGAACTTCCCATCTTTTAAGGCCTCCTTTGCATTTAGCTGATAGATGGCAGAGGAAAGATAGATTGTGTGCCTTGACCTGGAAATGACATTATTGCTGCCCACATTTCATTGGCAAGAACTAGTCATTTGACCCCCACCCAGCAGATTTGCTTGAAAACTTCTAGGCTCCTGAGGTTACCTGTCAGGACAGGAAGAGTGGGAAATAGTGTGATACTTAGCTTTGTTTTGTGGAGAAAGTCTGTGGTCAGAAACAGGCTATGATGGAAGTGGGTAGTGAGGGAGGGAACTTACTGGGGCCCTCTAGTGGGAAGGTTTGGGAAGGAGAGTGAGTGAAGAAGTATTTAACAGTGATGTTTGGGCTGAAAAATAGCACCAAGATTCATAAGTCTCAAAATTTCTTCTTCGCTTGCAACCCCACAAACATGTTATAGAAATCTCTCCCAGTAGCTTTGAGCTGGGGTGGGTTCCCTACTTCCATTGCCAATTGAGAGGAAGCATGAAACAACTGGAAGGCCAGATCTCATGTTCCCATAGTGAAGAGAGATGTGTTCTTGGCATTCTAACATCATGTACGTTCATAGTATCAGACCCTTTATGCTATATTTTGTGTATTTTATGGAGATTGAGAAATTTTGGGAGTTGAGTATTCCCAGATCTTCCCATGTATGTTCTAGTATGTTAAGTTAAAAAATTAGTCACACTTGCTTTTTAATTATACATTATCTTTTTAAATATATGTCCTATAAAGTAGACTTTAAAGTCTAAACTTTATATAAATGGTGATTCACATTATAGCATCCCTGAATCTAATGCATTTATTTCACTGGAAATTCTCTGAAATATTTAAACTGAAGTTAATTGGGCTTTGGTAATCTAGAGACAAGGGTGAAATATTTGAATATGTAAATCTATTAAAATTATTTTTGCTTATGTGTACTTCTGTATATAACTGGTTAAATTTACCTGGAATAGCTTTCATGTCTCATTTTATTAATGATTTTATTTATAATTTCTAGGCTCCTGGGGTTACCTGTCAGGACAGGAAGAGAGGGAAATAGTGTGAGACTTAGATTTGTTTTCTGAACAAAGTCTGTGGCCAGAAACAGACTATGATTTTATCAATGAGACATGAAAGCAAACATGATAAACCTCTTTGATAAAACCAGAAACTAGGGCTATATGAAGTAATTGGCACTATTGGTAAATATTCCTAGTGATAACCTGAACATAGCCAAGAGTTTCCCCGTTAATCAGGGGAAAATACAGCCTTAAGATAGGAGCTAGGCAATACTATTAGACCAGTTAATGGATTTGTTTCCTGACTTTGCATCTCATTTTGTGGAAGTGATTTTGAGTGCCAATTGTTTTGTTTGTCTTGAGGCAGAGTTTGGCCCTGTTGCTCAGGCTGGAGTGGATCACAGCTCACTGTAACCTCTACCTCCCAGGTTCAAGCCATCCTCCCACCTCAGCCTCCTGAGTAGCTGGGACTATAGGTGCTGGGACTAATGAGTAGCTGTTATCCCTATAAACTAAAGAGAAGAGAAATACCTGTAGTATATATTTAATGATTGAGGTCTACTTTTGGTATTCTTTCATGCTAGTCCCAATTTTAATAGTTGTTTGCCTCCCAGAAATGTGCAGACTCTGGAGGAGGGTCCTGACCTCTGTGCTCACTGGGGCACCCTCAACCAAGGACTTTGCGCATTGGATATTTGCCTGCTCAGAGCTCTATCCATGACCATGGGTGTCAGTTCTCAGCCCTGGCTGTCCCTCAGAGATCCAAGTAACTACTGATGATTTCAGAGCTCTCTTAGATATTTGTAATAAATCGATTCCTTTGTTACTCCAGGAGGCTGTAGGCAGCTTTCTCAGCCTTTTGGTGGTGTTTTTGTTGGGGGGAGAGCATGAAAAGTTTCTATAAACCTTGTTTGGGATATTCAACTCTCACAGTATCTGTGGGTAAGTAGCCCCCCAGCATAGAAGCTTACTGTTTGTTGCTCTCCTTGGGTCATCAAACCTTGGGGTGTGGATAGCAAGCTCTCTTGGCCATTGGTACCCTACATTATCATTATTTGACTATTTAAACTAAAGACTCTGACATGTTTTTAAAGATGTCTGAAAGTTGTAGACATCCGAGTAACCAATAAAAGACATTCAGAAGTTTTAACACCCTTCAAAGCTGCTAAGTTGCAGAGCTCTATTGTGAATTTATTATTAGCCTGTGTCTTTACAGTAGCAAACTGTCCTCCAAGAATTGACACTTCATAATTATGCTTAGGAATATCATTAATTAAGTGGCATCTCTGTATAAAGCAAATTTCAGCTTATGTTTGCATTGATAAACATGATTTATAAAAGGTAGATTACTTATAAGATTACTTATATACTGGTGTTTTTACCTTAAACATTGGAATGTAATTTCTAAAATATAATTGTTTTTCTAGACCAGTTTTAGATTGACAGAAAAATTGAGAATAGAATTTCCATTCCCTCCCCCAACCCCTGCCACCAACACACACACATAATTTCCCTATCATTAACCTCTTATAGTAGTATGGTACATTAGTTATAATTAATGAATAACTATTGATACATTATTGCTAACTAAAGTCTACAGTCTATTTAAATTTCTTTCTCTTTTTTTTTTTTTTTTTTTTTTTTTTGAGATGGAGTTTCACTCTTGTCACCCAGACTGGAGTGCAATGGCGCTATCTTGGCTCACTGCAACCTCCTCCTCCAAGGTTCAGGCGGTTCTGCCTCAGCCTCCCAAGTAGCTGGGACTATAGGCATGCACCACCATGCCTGACTAATTTTGTATTTTTAGTAGACACAGGGTTTTGCCATGTTGGCCAGGCTGATTCTGAACTCCTGACCTCAGGTGATCCACCCACCTTGGCCTCCCAAAGTACTGGGATTACAGGCATGAGCCACCACGCCCAGCCTCTGTTTAGATCTCTTCAGTTTTTAATTAATGTTTTTATATTAGCCTGTTCTCATGCTGCTAATAAAGACATACCCAAGACTGGGCAATTTATAAAGGAAAGAGGTTGAATTGACTCACATTTCCACAGGGCTGGGAAGGCCTTAGGAAACTTACAATTGTGGTAGAAGGGGAAGCAAACATGTTCTTTTTCACATGGTGGCAGCAAGGAGAAGTGCAGAGTGAAGTGGAGGAAAGCCCCTTATAAAACCATGAGATTTTGTGAGAACTTCCTATCCCAAGAACAGCATGGAGGTAACCGCCCCCAAGATTGAATTACTTCTCACTGGGTCCCTCCCATGACATGTGGGGAATATGGGAACTACAATTCAAGATGAGATCTGAAGACACAGCCAAACCATATCAGTCTTTTTTTTTTTTGTTGAGGTATCCTATCCACATAAGTTGTTACGTCTACTTAGGCTCCTTTTGGCTATGACACAATCTCAGACTTTCATTGCTTTTGTTGTCCTTGATAGTTTTCATGAATACTTGCCAGATATATTATAGGTTACTCCTTGGAATTTCATGTTTTTCTCATGATTAGACTGGAGTTTTGGAATTTGTGATAAGACTGTTAAACCTTGTAAGGGTTTGCCAGACTCTCTTCCAAAGTGGCCATACCAATTTGCATTCTCATCAGCAATGAGTGAGAATTACTGTTACTTCATATATATGTCAATATTTGGTATAGTCAGCTTTTGGGACTTAAGCCATTCTAATCAGCATGCAGTGGTTGGGATGTAATTTTTTTTTCCTTTTTTGAGGCAGTCTTACTTTGTCACCCAGGCTGGAGTGCAGTGGCACGATCTCAGCCCACTACAACCCCCGCCTCCTGGGTTCAAGCAATTTTCCTGCCTCGGCTTCCCAAGTAGCTGGGATTATGGGCACCCACCACCACACCCAGCTAATTTTCGTATTTTTAGTAGAGACGAGGTTTCACCATGTTGGCCAGGCTGGTCTCGAATGCCTGACCTCAAGCAATCCACCTGCCTTAGCCTCCCAAAGTGCTGGGATTACTGGTATGAGCCAACATGCCTGGCCAGGATGTAATTTTTAAAATTGGTCATTTAGTCTTACTGTCATACTTTTTAGGTTGAGCCAAAATGAGCCTTTAGGATTAGGATTTCCTAATCCAAAAATCTGAGATCCATAATGCTCCAAAATTTGAAATTTTGAGTGACAGTATTCTGATTTTGTAATTAAGGATTCTCAACCTGTAAATATAAGAGTCTTTAAGCCCTCTTGGCAAGTATTTCAAAATCTGAAACAAATAGATATCCAAAACCCTTCTTTGTCCTAAGCATTTTGGATAAGGGATACTCAACTTGTATTATATCTGACTATAGAAACATTAGCTTTCTCCTAATACTTCTCTTTAAGCATTAAGAAGAGAGTATGTGTGCTGTTTCCCATGCGAAAAACTGTTACAGATATTTAATAGCATTTCACTTATTTTGTTAAAATTGCCTATTCTCTTTGCTTTCATTACTAATCCCTTATCAGCTGCATTCCGTTGGTGTTAAGCTCCACTCTGATGTTAATGTCTCCTGTTTAATTGCTTTTGGTTAATTATTTAATCTCATTTTCCATTCTTCAAAGTCATTTTTGCTTTTTGTTTGTTTTTGTTTATTTGTTCATAAAGCTTTTTGTTTCTGTTACATTATGTAGTTTTGTACCAATGGCTAGAAGCAGATCGTCATGGCAAGAGCCAAGATGCTGCAAATACGACTTCAGGTAAAAATAAAATTTAAAACAAGGATGGGCTGTTATAAATCATTATTTTAATTGATCCCAAGCCCATTATAAATGTTCCTTTATTCAGTTTTGTGTGGTCAAACTTATAGATGTTATTTTGTTTCTCTTCTCTCATCTGCATCTTAATTTTCATAAAGACCTCTTTTGCTTCAACCTTGAAAACGTGTATTCAGTAGTCTTTAAGCTCTCTTGGCAGATATTTCCTTTTCCTGCTTTCTTAGGAAGAAAGGATTAATTGCAGCTTCAATTTAGTAGGAGGTTATTGTGGCAGTATTAGTTGGAGTTAAGTTGATATGTATGTAGCAGTCATACAAATTTATAGTCCTTGTTTGTTTCAAAATAGTATTTAAAAGGCAAATTTTAAGTACAGGATGCTTATGTGATTTTCATTTCCTGGGAATCCAACTTCTTAGATTTGGTTATTCTCCCGTTTTTTTCCCAGCAGTAAATTCTAAATTAAAAGGTTTATAAAACATGTGTTTAAAATGAGAAGTATAGGTTGTTCCTCCATCTCGCATCTCCAAAAGTCATCACCAAGATTCTCTTCTTTTGACTGGTACTAGGAGGAATAGCTACATCCACTCATTTCTAAATTTTTTTTTCTTTTTTATGAGATAGATTCCCAACCAGGCTGGAGTGCAGTGGCATGATATTGGCTCACTGCAACCTCTGCCTCCTGGGTTCAACCGATTCTCCTTCCTCCACCTCCTGAGTATTACAGGTGCATGCCACCATGGTTGGCTAATTTCTGTATTTTTAGTGGAGACAGGATTTCGCCACATTGGCCAGGCTGGTCTTGAACTCCTGACCTCAAGTGATCCACCTCCCTCAGCCTCCCAATGTGCTGGGATTACAGGCGTGAGCCACCGTGCCTGGCCCATTTCTAAATTGTTAATAGCGATATCAGATTTCTAAATAATTGGTTCTTCCCCTAATATTCTTCCAAATCATATTTGCCAAGACAGCTATGTGTATATATAACAGTAATCTTTCTTGTTATCCCTTTTTAAGCAGTCTAATAAGCAAGTGGTGTTGGTGGTGGTTTTGCTTTTCTTTTGTTAGATTTATGTTACTATTTTGTGGCTTTTTTGTTTTTGTAAAATTATTTCTTTCTGGAAGTGGTTTCCTTCTCACTGATTCTTTGTGCCTCAAGAAGGTGCAATGTTCCTTAGTTAACAGAACAATTATATTGAGAATGGCACTTTCATTACCTTTCTGATGTATCTCCTGTCCCATTAATACCTTGATACATGAATGAAGATGTTATTTTAACTATACACAGGCAGAATTGAATTAAAAGGTAAGTGTTGCAAGGAGTTATATGATAGGTTTTATCTTGTTTCTTCTGCTCCTGCAGTGTTTCATATTTTATTTACATTTATGGATAATAAAAGCAAGTATTTTTGGTGTTAGAAGGTAGGTGAAGGAGAGGGTTTTGTTTTTTTTCTTTTGAGACAGTCTTGCTCTGTCACCCAGACTGGAGTGTAGTAAGTAGCATAGTCTCGGCTTACTGCAACCTCCACCTTATAGGTTCAAGTGATTCTCCTGCCTCATCCTCCTGAGTAGCTGGAATTAACAGGCACCTGCCACCACGCCGGGCTAATTTTTGTATTTTTAGTAGAGACGGGATTTCATCTGGTTGGCCATGCTGGTCTCGAACTCCTGACCTCGGGGTCTGCCTGTCTCAACCTCCCAAAATGCTGGACTTACAGGCATGAGCCACTGTGCCTGGCCAGGAGAAAGTTTCTTGATGACTGTATATCATGAGGATACTCTGTTGCTGTGTCAGTACACAGTCAGCAGCATAGACTTTTAGAACTGGGAGGAATTTTGGTTTTTCTCTAAAGTGAAATGAAAAGTAACTTTTTAAAATTAAATAATGTTTATTAAAATAGAGATACGGTTTCACTATGTTGCCCAGGCTGGTCTCAAATTCCTGGGCTCAAGAGATTTGCCCACCTCGGCCTCCCAAAGTGCTGAGATTACAGTCATGAGCCACCATGTCTGGCCAAGTAATTTTTGTTTAAATGAAGAAGTGAATAATTTGAACTTTCTTAATGTTTACGGAAAAATCTAGCATCAGCTTAAAAATATCATTGACTCTTCCTGAAATCAATTCTAAGCCCTGAATCTTTTCTTCAGCCACATTGACTCTCATAGACAGTTTCACATTCCTCTGTTGACTTTTTGATGCTTACATACTCTAGAAGCATCTTGCAAAAATTGATAAACTCTCCTTAGGGATGTCTTTGACAGTTTCTTTTCTAGAAATGAATGCTCTCAACTCTTAGAAGATGGAAGTATGGAGAATAAATATACAGAGATGAAATGTTTGCCTAAATAAGTCAGAGGAATCTAAAGAAAATAATGATCATTAACCAAGGACTTCAATTAGAAATAGTAGTTTAGTTGCCTCAACAAATATATTTAAATTATGTGTCCTTGTTCAAAAAAGTTCCTGTGTATTTTATATTGCAGTCTACAGCAAGATTTTTTAGTGTGACTTTTCCCTCCTCCTATGATCTGTTTTGCATTCAGAGGTGTTTCTATTCATATTTTTACCCAAAATGGAAACTGAGTTTAACTAGAAGTTAAAAACAACTCATAGATCAAATTGCTTTGTGATATTTTTAATTGTATAAATACTGGTAAGTGACATTTATCTTCTGCTGTAATAGCTAGTATTTTGCACTTAATTAGAACTTTAAAAGTAGGAAAACCGAACACAATAAAATTGTTTCAAGGTTTTCTAGTTCTTTGATCCCAAATTCTTGACATTGGGAATTTAAGATCCATCTACATTAAAATATTTCATGAAACCAATAAGTCTTACTCTGGTTGAGGAGGTAAAAACAAACAAACAAACAAGAAAAAAACAAACAAAAAAAACACACCTGATAGCTATTACTGAATTTTCATTTTTTTACTTAAAAAAAATTTTTTTTAATTAAAAAACAAAAAAAAATGGGGTCTCACCATGTTGCCCAGGCTGGTTTCAAACTCCTGGGCTCAAGCAATCCTCCTGCCTCAGCCTCTCAAAGTGCTGGGATTACAGGTGTGAGCTACTGTGCCTGGCCTGAATTTTCTTATATATAATTAAAATGTGGCCTACTTTTATCTTTCCAGAATTTTGCCAGATAATGAATTTGACTTAGGATAGCTCATTTATTTTTAAAAGGTTAGTGTGTTTAATGTGTTCTATTCTACTAAACAGGTTGACTCAGCAATGTTTCTAATTCTGTTAATTTTGTTACTTAAGAACCTGGATATGCAATCACATTTCTCAGAGATTTCCATGGAAACTCAAGCAAAATTGCCTCCTTGGAGCACTGCAGCATGGGGTCTAAGTGTGTATAAAATTTCAGGATCATAAGATGTATGATTAGCTTAATACAAGATGTTTCTTTACTGAAGGAAATGTTTTCATATAGTTTTTTATTACCACACATTGAAATGTGAACAATAATTAGGGTATAGTAATGATTATATTACCATATCTTGATTTTTAGTATCAATTGAGTAGCCAGTATTTTAAAATTCAGATTATAAAGTTTTAAATGCTGACCCATTAACAGTTTTTTAGTTGTCCATTGGGATTTTACAACTCAGATGGTTAGAGGTAGAAATTGAATCAGATCTCAACATTATCAGTCAGTAGTTCTATAAAATAAATATAAAATTGTGACATGCTTTTGAAATAGTCCTACATATTAACTATGTATTAATTATTTGTTGTAGGTGAAAATTTTGACCAGAGTCCTTTGAGAAGAACATTCAAATCCAAAGTTCTCGCCCACTATCCTCAGAATATAGAATGGAACCCTTTTGATCAAGATGCGGTAAACATGGTATGTGTTTTATTTCCCCTCATTTTCTCTTTAGCCTTGTTTTTATATTAAGATGAAGGTAGTGACTGTATTTTGAATGTCTACCTTATTTCATTTAATTTATTCTTTAAGTGATTTTATAAGAAATGTGATACTGTCTTCATTTTACAGATGTGGAAGCTGAAGCTCAGAGAAGCAAGTTACTTGTCCAGGGTTTCCATAGCTGATAAGTTTATACAGTAGACCCTAAAAGCTCATTTTAGTTTCCTACTATTAAACTGTGTTGTGTGTTTATATTAATACATAGAAGCTTTGATAAACAGTGATATTACTTTATTGGCCTGAGAGGAGCCTGATGGAAAGAGCCTGGTTACAGTTTTTATATTTCAAGGAATGTTGTATGGTAGGCCTGTAATTTCTCATCTTTGCAGACAATGTAAAGACAAAAAGAAACTTAATTGTGTCATTTGATGTAGTAGGAATCTGAATTTTTTATGATTGTTACCGGTGGAGGGTGTCCAGGTTCTTGGCATCTTGAACAAAGAATTGGACAAAACATACATACAAAGCAAAGAAAGAATGAAGCAGCAAAAACAAGATTTATTTAAAATGAAAGTACAATCCACAGGGTGGGAGTAGGCCCAAGCAAGCAGCTCAAGAGCCCATTATAGAATTTTCTGGGGCTTAAATACCCTCTAGAGGTTTTCCATTAGTTACTTGGTATACACTTTATGTAAATGAAGTAATGGTCCACGATCAGTCTGATTGGTTGTGGGAGGATACCAATCAGAGGCTGAAGCAAAGTTATACCCTGTGCAAACATTTGAGAGGCTGAGGTGAAGTTACAAAGTTATACTCCTATACAAATGAAGACTTGGCCCACAACCATCCTGATTGGTTGTGGGAGGGGACCAATCAGAGGTACTTTCAATTTTGCATCTGCCATGCAGAAAAAGGGTGGTGGGGGTTACAAAAGGAGTAGCCACTGGTCCTTCTGCTACTTGGGCGTTGAAAGCTAGGGTTTTCCTGTTGATTTAGTTCTAGAAAGTCAGCCTGAATCGGCCTTATGTCCTCTGCCTCCAGACCCTATTCTACCTCATAATGAGTTACCAGTGTTGATTAAGTTTCTCTTTTATCCCTGCATGATGGTGTGCTTCTGTAATCCCAGCTACTCAGGAGGTTGAGTCAGTGTGATTGCTTGAGCCCAGGAGTTTGAGACCAGCATGGGCACCATAGCAAGACCCTGTCTCAAAATAGGTGGGTAGGTATAGGTAGGTAGGTAGATAGATGATTAATAGATAGGTAGGTAGATAGATTAATATATAGGTAGGTCGATAGATTAATAGATAGATAGATAGATAGATAGATAGATAGATAGATAGTTAGATAGACAGATAGACAGACAGAGACCACTATGGGCACAATAGCAAGACCGTGTCTCAAAATAGGTAGGTAGGTAGGTAGATAAATAGAAGATAGAGAGTTAGTCTCCTTGAGAGGTTCTTAGAAATAAAGTAGGTCATAGTTTTCAGATTATTTAGGAAGGGCCCTTCTTAGATGACTGAATAATATTTTAGATGTCCATAAACTCTGTGATTATATAATTCATGGGGTCCGAAAGTAAGGAGATACCAGGCATGATAGATATAGAAATGAAATGAGTGTATACATAAGAATGGAAAAAATAAAGAAAAAGATACAGAAATGATTAAAGGTGAACTGAGACACTGTGATACCCATTGCTCTTTTTGAGTAGTTTTGTTTTTGTTTTTTGTTTTTGAGACAGAGTCTCACTCTGTCGCCCAGGCTGGAGTGCAGTGGCACAATCTTGGCTCACTGCAACCTCCACCTCCCGGGTTCAAGTGCTTCTCCTGCCTCAGCCTCCCAAGTAGCTGAAATTACGGGCTCACACCACTATGCCCAGCTAATATTTTGTATTTTTAGTAGAGACAGAGTTTCACCATGCTGGCCGTGCTGATCTCGAACTCCTGGCCTCAAGTGATCTACCCTCCTTCAGTGTCCCAAAATGCTAGGATCATGAGCACATTCCACCATACCCAGCTAATTTTTGCGTTTTTAGTAGAGATGAGGTTTTGCTATGTTGGCCAGTCTGGTCTTGTACTCCTGATCTCAAGTGATCCACCTGCCTCAGCCTCCCAAAGCACTGGGATTACAGGTGTGAGCCACTGCACTTGGCTTCTTTTTGAGTATTTTAAAGATAGTGTTAAAAGACTCCATTATAACCTGATAATTTTTTTTTTTTTTTTTTTTTTAAGACAGAGTCTTGCTCTATTGCCAGACTGTAGTGCAGTGGTGCAGTCCCGGCTCACTGCAACTTCCGTTTTCCGATTTCAAGCATTTCTCCTGCTTCGGCCTCACAAGTAGCTGGGACAACAGGCACACACCACCACGCTCAGCTAATTTTTTGTACTTTTAGTAGAGACGGGATTTCATCATGTTGGCCAGGATGGTCTCAATCTCTTGACCTCGTGATCCGCCCACCTCTGCCTCCCAGAGTGCTGGGATTACGGGCCCGGCTATAACCTGATAATCTAACAAAGGAAATTAATATTCAGTAGATGCCTGCTAGGTTTATTTTATACATGTTATTTTCACATGCATGTTTACATGTACCCAGTGAGAATTCTCATATTTTCAAAGGTTAAGTAATTTGCCCAAAGTTAGGCAGTAAGACTCAGAAGTTAAATCCAGATCATTTTTGCTCTCTAGTTCACTTTTTATCTCATCTGCCATGCTGCCTCCCTAAAAGAAAAACTAAATAACTTAGTTTTGATCTGCACCAGAAGTATTATGGATCATGCTGGACCCTTTGTGGTATTTCTGTCTGTATCACAGTAAACTCTTTCTAGCCTTGACTTACTCAAGGGAGGGGATAGCATGGTGCTTTTTGTAAGGACAAATGCCTAAAGCACTTGGCACTTTGAATTTGATTCTTTACAGAGTACAGTATAGATATTTTCCTAAACTGTTACCCAATACTAAAATAATCAGGATGCCATTTTGCTGGAAGTTACTATTGTAGATGCCTAGCATCATCTTTGGTGAAGATTCTACTAAAAGATATTAAGTAGAACACAACCGTTAACTATCTTTATAAGACTTAGAAGAGTCCAGACAAGGATCTAACTAAAATAGTCAAACAGCAGTGACAAAAAATAACCTATGAGCTGCTTATGCAGCAAATTAACAGAACGACATTTAGGAAAAGAGTGTTTAAATCAAGCAGTGGAAAGCTGGATAAGAATGTGAATAGATCATAATACTTTATCTTCTTAAATTAGTAAGATATTTAAAAATATAACGTATTCTGTGAGAAATCAGAATGATATCCAAAATGAGGTTCTAGCCTGAGCAACATAGGGGGACCCTGTCTCTACAAAGAAAAAAACAAGTAGCTGGGTGTGGTGGCACATGCCTGTGGTCCCAGCTACTCTGGAGGCTGAGGTGGGAGGATCACTGGGGCCTGGGAACAAGTACGTTCTTACTATATGAATCCACAGTCATTTGGAACAAAATGCCACACTTGAATTGTTTTTTTTTTCTTCTAATCATTTGAATGAATTAGTAGTGAGATATTCATCATAGCTTTGGCTTCTATCTGTAAAACATTAATCTTTAAAAGTAATTATCAGCTTCCTTGATCTGTCTTTGATATTTTCTTTACTCCTTGCCCCTGAGGTTATTTTATGTAAGCAGCAAAAGTTTCCTCCTGAGGAATAATTGCAAAGACTGTGTTTTGACGGTTAAGCACCACATAGCATTTTTTTATTGCTGAAACTCTAAAAGGATTTGCTTGTACTCCTGGAAAATCTCCGAAAAGCATCCCATTAAAGTAGTTTGCATTCAGGTCATAGATTTACTGCCTTTAATTTCCTTTTTGATTTACTGGTAAGTGCATTTGTATGAAGCTGTAATTTATTCCCACCTAAAGGTATAAAGCTTTGTCTTGCCTTTAGCAAAATCCCTGTGCAGTGAGTCATCACCTTCTGTAATATTAGTGATTCCTCTAACAAACAGCAGTGGTGCTTTCAATAAAAGATCATTAATTTCATATATAAATTAAGTACCCAAAGCAGCGAACTATGTATGTTTCATGTGTATGAGTGCAGTGCAAATAAAATAGAAAATAAATACAAGTGACAGGTGAAATAATTCCTGAATTAGTTTTTTTTCCCCTTCAGTTGCCGACTGAGAGATTTTTATGGAAAAAAATGTGAATATGACAGAACAGAAAAAACAATGCAATAAACAGTCATGTATTTGAGACAGACTCACTCTGTCACCCCGGCAGTGCAGTGGTATAATATTGGCTCACTTACACCCTCTGCCTCCTGGGTTCAAGTGATTCTTATGCTTCAACCCCTCAAGTAGCTGGAATTATAGGCTCATACCACCACGCCTGGCTGATTTTTGTATTTCTAGTAGAGACAGGGTGTCCTTATGTTGGCCAGGCTGGTCTCAAACTCCTGGCCTCAAGTGCCTGCCTTGGCCTCTGTGAGCTACCATGCCTAGTCTGCATTTCATTTTAAATGAAATAAAGTATTGCAAACAGAGCTGAAGGTCACCCACCTCACTTTCACATCTCTTTGAGGTAATCTGCTTATTGGCATCCATGACTATTTATATAATATTCTAGTTGTTAGATCTTAAGTTATTCTAGTTGATAGATCCTTAAGCCTGTATTGTACCCAAGAATTCATAAGAAGAAAACATGGTTAGTAACTTTTAAGCAAACTGTATGAAAATATAAGGATTCTATTTTATGTCTGTCTCAAATGAAACATCATAAATATGATATTTTAAGTAACTAAAGAGTAGTAACTATTATAAAGCTCTTTACAGTTTGCTGTTTACTTTGATCACAAAAAAGGATACAGTGGAATGAAGAGCGAAGAGTAAATGGTGAAAGGTTGGCTGAACATACCTATTCAGATGCTTGTCTTGTAAGATTAAAAGGAAAAGGGCTATATATACTTTTTGTAGACTTAGCAATTACTTGT